CCAAAAAATTTTGAAAATTTCATATTAAAATAATTAAAATTTCCAGCTTCAGCGCTCTCGGAAAAGGACATAATACCGACAAAGTTAGCCAGCATTAGTTATAATGCTGGCTAATTTAGTCTGACGTAAAAAAAAACTATTTTATGCTTCGGACATTCCGATTCCTAGTACAAAAAAAAATATTTTCTCTGTTTGTCCATTGTCATACAAATAAGAACGAACAAAATGTCTAAAGTCACGATTTCTGGAACGCCTATCAGTCTTTGGTTTCTTGTTCGTGGAAGTACTTCTATTTTTGACATTACTGTAGGAAGTGATAATCGTGTTTCCGAGCTCAAGATTATTATCAAGAAAGCTGCAGAACCTGAGTTTGACAGTTTCGCTCCGTACAGACTTAAGCTGTTGAAGCTTAAGAGCCCTGTTAATGAAGGGCATATTTCCGATATTCAATACTTCACGCTTCAAGATAACGAGAGTGACGAGAATGACAATGTGGTTTTAATGAAAGACATGCGGAAAATTGTTACTTACTGGCCTGAAAATCAAGCACCGCCCGAAGATCTCGTTCATGTTATTGTAGAGGCACCTGGTGAGTCATACCGTATAGTCGCGAAATAACGCGCAGGAGTGTAATTTCGAACTTCGGCCTAAATTAAGCTTAATTCGGGCCGAAATTCGAAATAACGCCCCTGCGCGTTATTTCACGACTATAAATCTAGAGAACGTGACATAGCATGTCTTTGACATATTTGCCCAATATAACAAGTACTTACTTAATTTTGCGCTTTTCTTTCCTGCTTCTTATTTCCAAACACCGCCCAAAAAACACATTCATGTTATCGTAGATGCCACCGGTAAGTGTAATAGAAATGTTAACGCAAGTGAACGTAGGCTATGACCGTTTTGTATCAATAATATCATCATTCCAACCTATATTGCTTTTATTTGCTGTCATGTCATTTTCTAACTTGTGTATTGCATCACGGAATCAAGTAATAGAAGAATTGAGAACGCAATTTGAGGCGCTTAAACTTGGTCGTGAACTTGGTTATGGTAGATGTCCTTTCTTACCTTTGATCACCCGTGTGCGAGTACTCAACCATTGATAACTCATTTACTTCAGATGAAGCACATTTTCAATCGGATTTACTTTTAGAGTCGAAAATTAAACGGATAAAGCGCGAAAAAGGTTACCTTTTCATTTTCAAGTATAAAGTTGATATCCAAGGCTTATTTCTTTTTTCTCTCATCACAGAATACAGGGAAACAGTTAAGATTGGCCTTAAAGCGAAATCCCCTTCGTCTGACGCCAAGCCTTCTACCTTTTTCACAACTCAAATAAACAACCCAATCCTTAATGGTCGACCGCTTGAACTTACTGGTCCTCCTATTAGTATTTACAATAGAGTCTTACACAATTCCTTGAAGATTTTAATAATATGGAACTGGAAGTACCTCCTGACATTTTGGAGTGGGTCATGATATTATTTCCGCATCAGCAGACAAATATTTCGACGAAGATGGACGTATGAAGATAATGAGAGAGATACTTTCGAAAAAATTTGGCACTATAGCATTGACTAGTTATGGGAAAGGTTGCCACTGCGATGGACTACTTACGGCTAAAGTAAGCCTTCTCGACGCTTATATTGGGATAATCGAAGGAAAAAATGAGGTTGGATCAGGTGGAACTGATCCCAGTCTTCAAGGATCAATATATTACCGAGATTATTGGTCTCAGACAGTAGTATGTTTAATTTTAATTCTTTAATTACTGCCGTACGAATTCATGTGTTTATGTGATACTTTCCATTCAGGTTGAACAAATTCGAGATTGCTGTTGTGTACCATCCTTCATTATCACCATTGCCGGACCATGGATTTGTGTACTCGGAGGCATCTTCCTTAACAGGGTAGTGGTCCAGCCACTAACAGATATCATTCTTCTTACAATCAACGTACGAAATGAAGACCAAGTGAATCGGATTGCTCGCCTTTTTCAGGCGTTGCGACTTGCTTTTGTACGACTCGGCAATTTTTACAATAAGTTAGACTTAACTTTACCTGGGCAGGCAGAACAGAGGTATTTTCCCTATCTTCGAAGTTTTAAATTAGATGATAATGTAAATTTTATCTACATCGAAGAGCTGGAAGATGATCACACAAGAACTATCTGGAAAGCCAAAACAACGAATACAGAAAATAATTATGATATTGTCGTAAAGTTTGTGAAAAATTATAATATAACAGCACATAGTATCTGCAGTGAAAGGGGTTATGCCCCGAAACTATTGTACCAAAGCTCTAAAAATGAATTCCTAGCTCTTGGAAGATATGGGATGATTATTATGGAATTTGTTGGTATCTCGCTAGATAGAAAACTTAATCAACGCGATATTAGACCTGATAATATTATTTATAAAGATGTAAGGTTTGCAATAGAATTGCTACATTCAATGGACTATGTATTTGCGGATCTCCGTCTTCCAAACATTCTAGTGTATGATGAAAATGAAATGCAACGAGCAATGCTCATAGATTTTGATTGGTGTGGAAAGCATGAAGTGGATAAGTATCCGTCATCATTGAATATGTCAATACAGTGGCCTACAAATGTGAAACCCGGCACCTTCCTTATGAAAGAACATGATATTTATTGGCTTGAAAAGTTGCAAGA